GAGCAGGCCCTCTGATTTATTGCACAGTTCCCCCCATAGCATTATAGAGTGGACGCCCTGAATTTATTGCACAGTTCTTCCCATAGCATTATAGAGCAGGGCCCCCATATTTATTGCACAGTTCCCCCATAGTACTATAGAGTGGGCCCCCTAATTTACTGCAGAGTTCTTCCCATAGCATTATAGAGCAGGGCCCCCTAATTTATTGCACAGTTCCCCTACAGCATTATAGAGCAGGGCCCCCTAATTTATTGCACAGTTCCCCCCATAGCATTATAGAGCAGGGCCCCCTAATTTATTGCACAGTTCCCCCCATAGCATTATAGAGCAGGCCCTCTGATTTATTGCACAGTTCCCCCCATAGCATTATAGAGTGGACGCCCTGAATTTATTGCAGAGTTCTTCCCATAGAATTATAGAGCAGGGCCCCCTAATTTATTGCACAGTTCCCCCCATAGCATTATAGAGCAGGGCCCCCTAATTTATTGCACAGTTCCCCCATAGCATTATAGTGAGCCCCCCTAATTTATTGGACAGTTCCCCCCATAGCACTATAGAGCAGGCCCCCTAATTTATTGCAGGAACCCCCCCCCCATAACATTATAGAGCAGGGCCCCCTAATTTATTGGACATTTCCCCCCATAGCATTATAGAGCAGGGCCACCTTATTTATTGGACATTTCCCCCCATAGCATTATAGAGCAGCAGCCTTCTCCAACCATTACCGTAGTTGTCTGTCAAAATTGTTTGGTATGTGAATAACGGTAGTTCCCTTTCTGAAGGATGTAGTGGCCCTGAAAAGGGTCGCAAACGTTAATGTACCTCCACTTTGAAATGAGTTCCGTAGTTTATTTTGGCGTGATTTTTCGGACATTTCAATCTTTCCTGATGCCTAAAATGGTCCATTTAAGTTTTTATTGAAGAGCGTGTTTATTGTTACTAGCGTGAATGGGTAAGCTTTGTTTCGACAATGAGCTGTTATCACTGTAAACAATGATAAAGCATTCTTCTAAAGCTCAGTTTATCTTTTGAAAACAACTATTTTTTTATTTGAAAAAAAAAAATCATGCCGCTTCCCCATCAAAATCCAAGCCAAAAGATTGTATTACAACATCAGCAAATCTCTTTTGCATTATGTTCAAAAACATTAACATATTTAAATGAGCTAAGGTAATTTTTAACACGTTGGCATCATCCAGCATTTTGATTGGTTAATTAGCGATTTGACCTATTAGGTCAACTCGTTCAAGATAAAGATATGGCGGGTACCCGACAGCATTGAGCGTTTATATGCGACTGAATTCATTGACTCACGGTTTTGAATTTTATTTGAATTTCATAACAATTCAACGAATTTCTTTTTTTGTACGTTATTATAATCACTCATAATAGTAATAATCAACAATTGTGAAACGCAGCATGACCGGATTGTGCGACCATGATTATTTGCTGGTACGCAATGCAGTTGTTTTAGTTTTTACTTGAAACTTAGTTTAGAATATACTAGTACTTTCGTTACCCCAAAATGTACTGACCAATATTCATGTGAAACGCAGGGCCGAATGCTGTTCCACTTACTAAACGCACCCAAGAGTGATCAGTGACCCCGGGCATAACGGCCAATTTTCAAGTTAATTTGGACGATGCTAGTCGATGAAAACACTAGTATCGAAAACCCCCCCCCCAATTTTTCGTCAATTTGCCGTTTTCCCAGGGGCCTTCTACTTTATAGCTTCAGGATAAACAGTAGAGCTCACTTATTTAGCATAACAATGAAGAGGAGACAACAGTCTGAATTAGGATCGTTATGGATAACAATACAATTCATAATTCCACTGCCAATGTTTCATTGTGTTTGAATTTGTGACTTGTAGCATGAATAAATCTATCCTACAGCAAGTTGCATCTTCTGATATCAAAATGATATATATGGGTGAAAGCAATGAGATTCAAACATGCTGTGTGTCATTGACATACTATTGCCTGACAAATACAGATAAAAATTATACCAATGCTTTAACCCATGCATGCCATGAATCTCCATCAGGATCTGAAAAGTATAGCTTCACCTTCTGTTGTTGATGTTATGGGTACCCCACACTTGGCCAAGTCATGTACAGTTACCGTATGTAGCTAATACATTTGAGACAAGATGTAGCATGAATGGGTAAACTATTTCGCCAATGAGCTTAAATTCTTCTTCAATAATCAGTTTATCTTCCAAAAATTACAATCTTGCTGAAATCAATGGGGAAATATATTCAGTTCAACAGTTTGTTTAGTTTGATAATTTACAAAAACAATGATTGGGATCTTATCAAAGGTACAGCTAGTATAATATTTTATCAGTGGGAATCTTTCATCAAGCTGGTGGCACATACCAACAACTAGTGCGATTTCTTGCATTTAAAGTAATTAACATCAACCAAATGTATTGGAATTCATGGCTACATACTAGTAATCTCTCTGTGTGTTCTGTCTAGACACTCCTTTCCTTAAAACATGCAGGATATTTATGTTTCTCAGAATTTCAATTGCATTCCTTTATCAGTATGTAAACAAGTAACTTCCCAAATTTAGAGATAAATATTACTAAGTTTTGTTATTAAAAACAATAAATAAGTCACCAAAATGAACATATTTTTGTGACAGTAACCTAAGACCAATGAACCATTTAACATACTAATATAACACACTATGTGAGGATTACGGTAGTTTACAGTTTATTTATTTATCAAACTTATTTTTTATCTATGCCTGAGTATTTGTAAGCTTAGTCACAAAATGTGGTACCGGTATATATATTCTGCAAACTAATAAATATTATAGAAAAGGAGTTCAATCCATTGTTTGAGTTTGACACTTTATATTTA